CGTTTGAAGGCGGTGATGAGACTCTGGCCAGTCTACCTGGAATGAGAATACCCTCAGGTTAACATCATGAAGCCTAGTCAAATTATTTTGGAAAATTTAAGGTAAAGTCCTTCATCATCTTATAGGACCTATAGTGAATACTACTCTGATTCAAGAATTAACAGTATCTGTAATCAGAAGAATCCTAGATCAACAAATTTTATGCTCAGTTTGCATCATGGATACAGAGGCCAAAATTGCCTAAGCCGATGGCGGAAACTGGACTGGAGTGCTTTAAAACGCTTTTGTTTGCGGATTTCTGTCTGTCTGTTGCAAAACGCAGGGTTAGATAGGCTACTGAAATCAACAGATTGAGGAGGATTTTCAGACTCTTGAATAGATAAAAAGTGGTAAGCTACATTCAAAGATAAGGCGACGAAATAATTATATCTGATACTCTAATTGAAAGTAAGGTCACACTTTCCAAGTATATACTCAGAAAGCAAATCAGCTCAGCAAGCCTAACTACCGACATTGCGTAATCAAGATACCAAGGACAATAAACTTTGCTGATCCTAGATCAAATATTTCTGCGTTCTTTCAGCCACTGAGGGCTTCCAATTTAGTATCGTATGTCAGTGCATGTATAGATACATACGCATACACACAAAGATATACATAAGTTTTAATAAATATCCTATTGAAATAATAAAAAATATTAGTACGCCAGCCGTTAGTTGAGCTAGCCAAAAAAAGACTGGTTGCTTGGTTTTTTTGAATGGATGAAGAATAACAGTGCTTAGATGAAGTTATTTTGATAACATTATTGCGAAGACACGAAAGCTCATGATAAAAAATTTGGTCGGTCCAGGACAGAGTCTGGACGCGAGCCAGAATGACCTTAGAAGTATGGATCTGTTGATTATGGTAAATTTGACACGAAATGCAAGGTTAGAGAGACTATTAAAATTAATTAATTAGGCTCGAATGGCTCTTCTTGAAGTTAACACAAATTTCAAAATTCAGCAAGGAGTTATGCTCAATTATTTTAGCCAGTTGTCTCCTATGCGCAATTTTCATCATTCTGAGCTTACTTACTACGAATTACTTGTTTAATTAAATAATAGTATTAATTTAGTAATTCACATTGTTATATTAATTAATATTGCTAATTGATGTAAGAGGTACAATCGGCAGTCAATCATTTTAGAATTATTTGTAGTCATCAGATCGGAGCCAGATCCGTTGCCAAGAGCTAAATCTTGATCAAGCTCTTGGTCCACATCTTTGCTTTTCGAAGGACGAAGAGTTAGAGGATCTACAACATCTGCAAAGTTGTGGCCAAAACTAATGATTGACATTTTATGAAAAATGCTTCTTTGAATCGGACTATCGGGCCTACCGGACTGGGTTGATGTTGCAAAATGTGATCACCGGATAGATAGCCTCTTGTTGCTTCTCCTTCGAGTACAGACGCTTCGTCGTCTCGTCTAGCACCATAGTCATACTTCGCTCAAGGTTGCCGAGATTCGATGTTGTGGATTTGCCTCTTGTCTCTGAGGCCGAATTCTTTCTTGTCCTTTCGGCAGAAGAGGTCGAATGATGCGTTTTCAAGTGCCATTCCACCAGTTGCTGTACCAACAGGCTGAGGCTAAGGAGGAGGAGCAAGACGTGCATAAGCCTGTCGAAAAAGGAAAGAAGATAAACGCACTTTTTGGCTTCATAATAGTTCTGGAAGATGAGTGAACTGGCCAAATTAGTTGCAAAAGTCTGGAATCCCGAATCCTATAGGCCAGATCTGAGTATGGAAGAAGTACTTGCTTAAGATGCCTATAGTATTTCGATAGTATATATATATATATAATGTCACAAGAAGCCAAGTGGAAATTACGAGTCTTTTCTAGTTATCTTACTTTTTCAGTTGTAAAGATAGACAATTCAAAATACCAAAACAATTCTAGCTGATACAGGATATTTGATTTCCTTCATCTCAAGTCAACATGTGTTTCCAACATTAGGACTGGCTTTTTACTTAAATCCAGTCAAGAGGGTCATGTGAATATGTATGATGATAATCGTCTACTATATTTATTTGTTAGTTTAATTGTAGAAGTGTTTTTAAAAAATTTATTCCATATATTAATTGGTGCATCTTTTGCCTAAAAATCTCCCATTCAATTCAATAAAGATACTGAAAAGTATATTTGATTGGTATTATCTATTATATTTTATTATCCATGAGTATGGTTTTAGTATGTGATCTACAAAGTATCAAAAGTCTACAGCGTAGTGCCACCGGGCAGATCAAATCTTTCATCTATATTTGTATGCATGCACTATATATAAACTAAAAGATATGTTCAAATCTGCGCAAATGTGCTTTCAATTGGTAATTGCTTTCGCCTTGTGTCCTTTTAGATAATGTCTTACTATATACCATTAATAATCGTCTCCAGATCTTCCTTCTAAAACAAATATTCCCAATTGATACCACCCTACTTTAATATTGAGCCATACCATCGGCGAACCTCGATTCGTATTTTGATTCTACTTCAAGTTCTACTTTATTCCATTCAGCAGTAGCTCCGTTTATTGGCAAATATGTGATAGAGTCAATCGACTACAAGAACATTAACTTGCTATGCTCTTTGCAGCAAGCTGAAAATAAAATAGCTTAACTCTAAAGTGAGATCTAGGTATGTTATTCACATAAATTCCTAATAAATTCACCTTGTCTAGATACATTTATAAATGGAACATGATAGCTTAAAGTTGTTAATTATTCCTAAGAATTTTTGAGATAAAAACTATTTTAAATTTCGCTATGATACAGCAGCATTGAAATATTCTTAAATATATCTCAGATATAGAGATTTTTATTGGCCTTTGTTCTTTGTTCTCTGTTGATCAAAGTCTCACGTATCAATCGAAAGACAATAAATTGCAAACAAAATAAAAAATGATTTTTTTGCTATTACCTTTGCTCACATGGTAACAGATACCATTGAAATTATCGTTTGCAGAGAGAAAATCTTTAAAATATCTCACATTTTATAAAAAGGGTTTTAATTGTGGAGCTATTTACTTTAGGAAAATAAATTTATCTTATTGCTACTACTAACTGAGGTCGAGAATTCACTTTTACTGTAGCATACACGAATCAATTGAACAACTAAACCACTACCGGAAAAATGGAATGATTGGGCTCTTCCAGCACATCACAAGGTTCATCAAAAGTTAAAGCAGAGAAAAATTCATCGGATGGCTGAAAGTCTAGCAGATTGGGTATGAATAGCAGCAGAGGTATGAATCGCCGATATGCTCCAGCCAATGTTCGGCCACTAGCCAAACTATGAATGGCCATACGACATGAAGTAGGAGAAGTGGAAGAAGAAAAAAATCATAAAAATATTCGGCGAAGACTAGGAAAAATAAGAAGCACCAGAAGAAAATAGAGCTAAAGGAGGAGAGTAGAACAAAAGCATAATAAAGAAAAAAGGGCCAAGCAAAAAGAAATATAAAAGAGATGAGCAGTTCTGAAGGATCATAACGTGAATTCCACGTACGAAGTGGCTAACGCCTAGCGACAGAAGTCGAGGGTCGTCTTGTTTAGAGCCGCTTTGTCAAACTTAGAAGAAGACAAGTTGGGTGTGTACGATGCAAAACAAATCAGAAGGTTTCTTGGAAAGTGAGGCATATTAGGCGAGGCTGGATTAAGATATTTGGAGGACCTGCAAGGAGAAAAAATCGGTCTTTTAGAGTTCACTGCTTTTGAACGTGTAAAGTGCTAGCAAACATACACATTTCAATCAAAAACTCTGCTCTTCATATACAGGAAAGTTTGTATGGATGTTGATAAGACTGACAGAAAGGATACTAGGCAGGGAATAAAAGAAAAATAATAAATTCATCCAGTTATAGTACACACAGGAAGATATATAATCGAGAATAGCATCAAATATGAGAGAAAGAGAAGAGGAATTCACAAGTTTTAAGATAAAGAACAAAAGAGTTAGTAGGTAATACCAAATATAAAGGAGAGAGAATTGCTGGATTGCTTATGCATGTGAAAATAGAAAAATGATTGAACAAAAGAAAATGGGTATATACACTTTAAAAAAGCACAAATTGAGGCACACCAGACAATAAATCTACTCAGCATTAAGCAAAGCAGCCAATCTGATATGGTTTGTTATCACATATTATCATCACAATTCATATCAACATAGCTGATCACATCTAATCTAATTATGTTGAATTTTATCAAATATAATCTCAAGTAATGTAATGTGATCTCATCTCAGTTCAGACCATATCAAAACATTTCATATAATCTCACGTCATCTGAGCACATTCGATCTCATCTGATCTCAAGTCATCCTAGCTCAACTTATTAGATCTCAAGCAAACTGGGCTCATCTCTTTACATGAAATATCATCACATAACATCTTATCAAAATTAAATCTTATTTCATATAATTAAATATCAGCAAAATAAATATCATCACATTTCTTATCATATAATGAGAAATTAA